GAGGTAAAGATAGCACCTTTTACTCAAACCTCTTATCGTGAATGCTTTACGACTTTCTTCTCAACTCCAAAAGGCCCTTCTTTAAAATTATTTGTAACTATGTACTTTTTACTAAAAACTTCCTGTAACAAACTCTTTTTTCAAAAATGTATGTTCTTTTAGTAAAGCACTTTGACTTTTTTTGCTCTCTGTTGTTTTTAAGGCTGGGTTTACGGTAAAATTGGCGCGAACAAAATGCGTGTAAAAAATCGACCCTGGCCGTTCCAATTCGTTTAAAAAGTAAATGAATTTGTGGGTTGTCAAATTAGTTGAGAATAGTTGAAAGTATAATCTAAGTTGTGATACAATTAGGCATTCCAACGACCTGTCAAACAATAGGTGCCAGTGGGAAATTCTTGTATATTTAAGGGGGTAGCGACATAGTCTTGCAACTTGGACGCTATTTTTATTCGAAGTAGTACTCGCCAAGCCTGCCAATTTATGAAGAAATGTATAGGTGGGTTTTTTAAATATTATTTTTATTGTGTTTGACATAAAATATTTAAATGTAATCCATTATTCATGATTTTACGTAAAGTAGATAGAATACACCATATGTCGCCACCCTTAGATATACCAAACCTGCCCACTGGTAATTCATTTGTTTGGAATGCCTAATTTATATTCCGAAAATCAACTGAAACAGTACTCAAATTAATTATTGAAAATACAATAAATTTATCACACTGATTATTGCAGTCTAATTTAAATGATCTTAATTAATTTTTAAATTCAACTATGTCATAACCTGTAACATGTTTGTAGTATATTCTGTACAAATATAGATGCCAATGGATATGTAATAACTACATGAGTTTGATTTTGCCTTAAAATAATCCAATTTAATAAAAGTAACTAGATTTTAGTAATATTCAACAGTATCAGCACCAGAGTTTAGTGAATTTTAGTAGTCTCTTTAGATACGTATACAGCTAATGGGCAAACGCGCCAAATAAAATTTAAAATTGACATTCAGTGGTCTCTTCCTTAGATATTAATTATACAGCTAACGAATAAAGGCTCCAAATACCACATAAAAAGGAGTAAGCTTTCATGAGTTTCATGGTGGCATTTTAGTATAATTAATGCTTTGCTATTTAGGTACATCATCCCTTTTAAATTAGCTTTAATAATTAATGAATTAATAAATCAGTTTCTATTTCCTATAACCAGTGAGAACAGTATAGAAATAATGATTTTTTTTAGACCTCAAGTGTTTTTTTTTTTGTGTTTTACACCCTTCAGACCTCCCGTGCTACACCCTAATCCCTCTGTAGGCTGGCAGCACTGCAGCCTGCGGCTTATTGTACCACCATTTGAAGGTCCTACTACTACTTTCCCATTCACACCCTCATTCATTCCACGTCGTCAATGGTTAAACGCTAGTCGGATGAATTCCATGGTAACATGGCCCATGGTGGAACCTCCCAGCGGTCACCCATCCACGACGTGACCAGAGACCCCAAGTAATTTATTCATTTAAAGTTTGTGCTTTGAAAATAATAAAAATGTAATTTTTTTTTGTTGATCGCTCATACCTGTAATTTGATACCTTATCAAAGTTATAGGTTATTTCTCAAAATATTGAAAAATGTTAAATCAAAAAGGTATGATTGTTCGGATTTTTTAAAATTGAATTAACAAGAACTTTAGGTTTTTAAAAATCAGTTTTATAACACTTTTTAGCACAAAAAAAACTAAGGTGTAAGTATCCAAATTCGCTTAAATTTAATAGACAGATAGAAAACTTAAGCAGGATTAAGTAATTTTTTCACCTTTAAATTCAGTTTAGGGTCAGTCCCTTTATTTCTTCTAACAATGTTTGTGTGCAAAAAGTAAAAATTGTTTGGCAACAGCAACACTAAGGCTCGCTCCAGACCGGCCAAAATTTCAAAATATTTCAGGATATATATAAAGTGTGATCAGAATTCATCTCGGAGGCCGTACCCTAATCCAAAATGTTTAAAATAAACCATTCAAACAATAATATTTCTCTTTATAATTCATTTGAAATTTGATTGAAATCATTACATGATTTTTAATTTGCTGTTTTTTAGCTTGTCTTTCAAAAAATCAAACTATCAACGTTATAAAAACTCTAACACCAGAACAAAGTTCAAAAATAAAAATATAAAGACCACTATTAGATTTTTTAAAAAACTTATGCACGCCCCCAAGTAGAATATTTTATGCCAACTCACTTTTTCATCACGTGACGTCACTGCGTCCCTAGCAACTGTGATGAGGCCGCTGTATTGTCTATGAACCATGGTCCATGACTTATTGTTGATAATCTGTCAACAATTAGTAATTGACAACCTGTTGGGGATTGGGACTGAATTCGGAACTCAGCTATGTTGGAAGACATTTTTAGTAAATTCAACAATATTACAATAATAAATCATAAAAGATAATGAAAAAAAACCTATGAATACTAAACTCGATTGTCAAATACTAATAGAGCTGCCAGAGACAATAGATACAAATAATACAATTACAATCACAAAATTTTCAGGTTGCAGCATTGCACATTTCTTGAAAATTCGTTCTTTTGCAGACCCAGAAACTGATTTGACAGTATACAAATCGGTTAGCGATTAGTCTTGGGACACTGTTTTTGTACTGTTTTGAGTCTGAATGTTGTTGGAACACAAATTCTAGGCTGCGCAGAATCCCTACAGTATGTAAACTGAATTGGTTTATGTTGGAACAAACCTTTGAAGTTGTTTAGTTGAAGCGAAAAACCTAATTATTATTTTACTTAAAATAAAAGTGTTATATTTTATTTTCCACTGAAATGACAAATTTTTTAATCACGCCATCGCGTTGAGTCGTAAAATTTGCGATTCAAGCTAAATGATACGCCCTCTGAAGGAAATTTGTAAAAGGTGTGTATAAGTAGGACATTGTTCAGTCTGGCCAGGAGTAGCCGAATTTCGCTACGTCGTCAGATTTTTAGCCCCTGAAGAAGTGGGAAGACCTTTTGTTTAAGTAGCAAAATTTGTGTCTAGCAATATAGAATCATATTCCATATATATTTAGGGATTTTTTATAAAACCGATTTATTATATTGATTTTTCTTTTAAATTTCTGTTCATTTATCAATTTTGTTCACTGTTTACATTTTAATTTGTATCAATTATAATTCGAATTTTTTCTTATGTGTGAGCTTTAAATTTGTTTATTTCTTATAGTGTGCGATAGTGTTTATATTAAAAATGAAATTTGCGAAAAAGCCCCCAACAAATTGCAATCCATATGCTGTTAATGTTGTCACAATCAAAACTGAAGTGTTCATTATTTTCCAAGCCTAAGTCGAAACATTTTGTTTCTTACAATAAATTCATATCTACAAATTCACCTCGAAATTCACATTATTGAGATTTTGCAAAATTTTGTCTAGAAACAAACTGCAATCTACATTGTGATACTTTTAATTCCATTTACATGTATACAAAGTACTACGCCATTCACTTCATAATATAAGGATAGTAAGATTTTTAAATAGGTTTAGGTATCAATAATAAACGTTAGGTACCTGGAATGCCCTTTAAACCACATAAAACATGCCCTACCTTTAGTAAATAAATCAGAGATAACAGATATAAGCAGTCATTAATAAAATATAATATTCACGATGCCAACATTAATTCAACAATCGATACATTCTATTTCTAGACGCGGGGCAGCGAAAGGTGAGAAGTAAGAGAAGGGATAATGAGAAGAATTTTACACAAACACAACTTATTTTTATCTGAATACTTAAATGTGTAAGCTTATAATACACAACGTAAATTTCCATGCTGGTGTAAGCCTGGTGTAAGCCACTTCCAATCTAACATCACTAGGTTTTGGAATTTATTGAAAATTATTACATCTAATTTAGTGAAATTACATCTAATTTAGTTAAATTTAATATAACTAATATTCAAACATTTTTGGGTCCAGTTGCATTAAAATAGGTTGAATTATTCTAGCTTTTTAAGTATATGTAAATAATTTTGTAAACAAAACGAGAATAATAAAATAGGCATAATGACAACAGCGGATATTATACCCATCTGTGTCCCTTAGAATATTTGTTAGTAGTTACATCTCCTCTTTATCTCTGTAAATAAATATTTCTAGATGTTTGTGTAGCAACCAGATAGGTGAAGATTTCCATCAAATTAGTCATAATACATGATAAATATTAGGTTCTTGTTAGATTTTCAAAATTTAGTCACATTGAAAGTATCATATTGTTCATAATCTAAAGAACTGTAGGATTGTTTGTCTAGTAATGGGAAAAATATCGAAAGTTCAAACCATTGAAATATCTTTAAAAAAATACTACCAACTTCATACAATAGCAGAAATGATGGACCAATAGCCAAAATGAGGCAGTAGATTATTCAGGAAAATACATTTCCCTGTCCCTAACACGATACCGCAACTTCTTAATGTTCTTAATTGTAGTAGCATTTTCATGGCACATGATCATGCATATCAAATCTTAAGATGTTCATTAATACATAATGCACAAGTTTAAAAAAATCAGGATTAATATGATATCTTCACACATAGTCCAATTTATAGCTTGGTACTACTTTGCTTTTTAATAGCTTTTCAATAATTTAATCTTTTTGTAATGTGATATTAATTTTGTTATGTCAAAAGTTAATTACACATATTCATACACATAATTTTTGTAACAAGAGTCCAAACATAAAACTAATGAGTATACTTATTGCCATATATATGGAGAATATTAAAAAAAAATAGGCATACATTTTTATAACAACTACTGTGTAGTCTTGGTTTAGTGGTTAGACTTTAACCTATCAGTTATAAAAAATTTTATTCTAAAAGCTATGTATATAAACATAGGTGATAGAGAAACATTCTGAAGTAGTTTTCAATATTAAGATAGGTACCTATTATATGAATGAAATAAATATATCCTTCACAACATGACTCACCAGAATAAGGTAAAAAGGAGTTGTATGTGTTATATCCATTTGATGGCATCAAAGAATTAGGTCTAGGAGGTAACAAAGGTGCACTTCTCCCACCTATGGACACTGGCAAATTCACAGAATTCTTCATGTACTGTGAGGAATTCTGGAGATTATTCTCTTCGAATGGCTTCGATAGAGACATTATTAAATAGAAATTAAAACTTTCACATTTCAAAGTCAAAAAATTATTTGTTTAATTTTAACATCTATCGCAATCAGGAAGTGTTTTATCTAAGTACATTCGGTCATAACAGTATCTGCTAGAGAAAGGACACCAACTAACTCAAAGTATCAAAGTTTAAATAGATTGAACATAAATAAAAATTCTCTGACATTCGACGATGCACTGGCCACAGAACAATTACTTTGCACTGGCACAAATAAACTGACACCTGACACTAATGACTAAACTCAACTCACTAAAGTGACAATGACATTGGAAGGATGAAGGTCTGTCTGTCTTACATTAGGTCTTTTCCTTTGCATCGAAAGTGTAGGACCGAGCTACACCACTTCTGAAAATATCGTTCCATTTATACAAATTGTATGGATTGAACAATATTTTCAGAAGTGACGTAGAGCTCAGTGCTACAAATGCTGCGTTTGAGAATCCACATCGGATGCATTTTTTACATCTCGAGCGTTTTTTTATCCACATCGGACACATCTGTCCCATTACATTTACGTATACTGAACCACGTGATCAAAGATTTTTTACATCTCAGATGCATCCGATGTGGATTCTCAAACGCAGCAACTGTCGATGCAAAGGAAAAGACCTATTAATGCTGCGTTTGAGAATCCACATCGGATGCACAAAGCACATAGAGGTTCCACGTGAATGACCAAGGTCAAAACCGACAACTGACATTTTTTATGCTATTTGCTCCAAACTCTAGATGGTGCTACTGGTGAAATTATGATTTCTTACTCCATTTTTAAGCCTTATGGGAGAAAAACTTAACCAAAGACTCCAACGATGTGACGTGTATTTATTTATGTTCTTGGTTAGTTTCATTTTTCCGTCTGGTTGGCTTTGGCTTTTGGTTTCTGTTTATAGTTTCGTCTTAGTTATTTGCAAAATTGTGATGTTTCGCTTTTTTATTTCCTACTGTGTTTTGCAATAATTTTGGTGCTACGTTGAAAACTTCGAGAAAAACTTCATTGATTCACCATGCATCTGCATCATAAAAAGACAAACGGGGACAACAACTAATTGATAATCAATTTATCACTGGACTAGATTCCGAAATCATTTTTCACATAAGAGAGTAATACCACCATCTGTATTTGGAAGGAAAATACCTATTTATCATTGAATGAATAGTTAAAAGGATTCACCTTTTAATACAATACCTATATTACATTTGTCCTCAGTTAAAAAGACATTTATAAAATATATAACTTTAGTGTTAATAAAATGTAATATCCTCTCTACTTCACATTTAAATTATTGATAGGTACCTATTTTAAAGATTTGAGATTATATATCTATTTGCTCCAAGTAAGTATTCGTTAAATATATTTTATTATTTGTATTTATTTTTATCTAATAATATTTATTTAAGTTATTAATAAACATATTTTAAGAATGTTCTATTTTATTATTTATTGATATATCTTATATTTATTTAATAAAAATATGCAGAACCAACTCTCCACATTAGACCCCTTATAACAAATTAATTCTTCAAATTTGGTATAATCGACCTAAATTATTTTGTAAAATAAAAGTTTCGAACTTACTAGTTCCATACTTTATTTTATAAAATAATTTATGTGGAAATCATTTAAAATTTAATTTAAAACTACTACCTACTCCTAAAAATTACAATTTGAATTTACCGCCATCTGTCAATTGTCATTTTAGTTCCAGCTCCAAACACAAGGTGTCGCTAATTTGGTTTAAAAGTTTAACATTGGCGTGGGGTCTCTAGAAGATACATGCTTTGTGATCGGATGCATCTGAGATGTAAAAAATCTTTGATCACGTGATTCAGTATACGTAAATGTAATGGAACAGATGTGTCCGATGTGGATAAAAAAACGCTCGAGATGTAAAAAATGCATCCGATGTGGATTCTCAAACGCAGCATATATTGCCCTTTTTTTGCGGTGTACGATAATTTTACCTTGAGTACGATAATTTCAAGTGTGTCGGTCACTGATCTGTATCACTGGTGTCGGTACGATAAATTAGAGTGCAGCAGTTGGCAACATAGGTTGGCAACGCTGTCCGTTACACACTACACAGAGTAAGTGTTCTGTGACTACACCGTTAAAGGCGTTAAATTCATTCTTTGAATTATTTGAAGTGGTTAAATTCGTTATTGTTGAAAAAAAGACCGACTGAATTTGTTGAATGTTAAAAAGCTTTAAAATAGGAAATTTAAAATGTGCGATACTCCGTTTAAATCACCTTATCCTCACAAAAACACAAAAGCAAGACATCTACATCAAAAGTCCGATAGTGATGAAAGCATAAATTCTGAAACTTGCTCTACAAATTCTAATTCCGGTTCGCTAAATGATCTTACTATTGTAGCCTTGTTTGATGAACAGCAGCGATTATATCTGCAGCGACTAAAAGATAGAGATAACTTGTGTGAAGGATTTTTTAATTGTGCAGAACAAACAAAATTATTATATGATGAGTGGGAAAAAGCTGTAGATGAGTGTATAAGGCTCAGAAATGAAGTCGATAAGAAAATTGACGATGGAAATGAGGCCAATAGATCACTTAAGAATGCAAGAAAAATGTTGGATGAAGAGATTAAAAAAAGAAAATTGGCGGAACAACAACGAGATGAGCTCCAGCATCAGATAGCTAAGTTTTGCAATGCTATTGTCAAGGACAGTAGAAACAAATTGGTGGATGATGCCAAAGAGCAAATCAGCAATCTTTATACAGGTACGTCACTGAATGAACTATTTAATTATCAGAAAAACTCAATTATTGCTCAAATCATTTTAGGAAGGATGAGTTTTGGCGATCCTGATCGTTTAAGCGCTATTAAAGAAGTAAATTCAACTGGGTCTATTCTTTCTGACTTTAGCTTTTCTCGTTCTGAAGATGATTTAGATTCTTCTAGATGTCATCATAGGCCAAATAAAGAGTGGACTAAACGTCAGCAAACTGATAATTTAGAGGAGCCTGCAAGTAAAAAGAGGAAATCGAGTACTAGTAAGGCTGTGGATATTGGAACTACAGAAACTGTTAGAGCTACTACAACTCTAACTGTGAGTAAAGATGGTCCAATTAAAGCCACTTCAATTATTGAATCAGTGCCTAGATCTGATATGGAACATTTAGCTCCTCCAGATTTGGTTTTTGAATCTTGGGGACGTCAAGGTATTTTTTTTTATTTTGAATTATCATGAAACATAAAAATGAAGTTAATATAAAATAAGAATCGTCATCTACAAAAAATATATATTAATTTACAAAACTTAGGTATCTCAGAAGCAAGAAGAAAATACTTCCGAAATGAAATAGATATGCATAAAAATAGTTCTAAAGGTGTTTGGAAGACAGTTAAGCAAATCAGTGGTAGTGACAAAAAAAACCAGAAATATGTTCTAATGAAAATATTGATAAAAGATAGTACTTAAAACTATTGCAAATTTATTTAATACATATTTAACAAATGTTAGCAAATCTTATGGTAAATGCATTCAAACACCTTATAATGCTGCATCCACTCAGAAATCATAATATACTTTTTCTAGTACCTGTAAAAGAGATGGAAATTAAAACTAGCATTAGCTCCTGAAAACCAAACAAGGCACCTGGTTTAACAGCATAAAAGTTTAAACCATACAATAAATTATTGATAAAATAAAAATGCATATTGCAAATTTAATTAATAGAATAAACTGTTATTATGGTGTTTTTCAAACCTGCACATCTATTGTTTTTTTGTTGATTATCATTTAACTTCTAATGAAACCATTTTTATATTAATTTAGATAATGTAAGGATAGTCTAATTTATTTATAGTTTATTTATTTAAAACACTATTTACATTTTATTTATGGCATACTATTTAATTTATATAATACTTAGACACTAACTCACAATTCTAATTTATTTATTACACTTTAATTTTTCATTCCAATGCTCTATACTAAACTAAACTGTGTACCGATGAGTTGGCTATTTATACCAAGTCCAACTCTGCTACGAGAAGTCTCTAGACGCTCCCGAAAATTCCATCTCTAATTCAATGGCGCGCATCGCCCATTCTGACTGTTTCCCGAGCGTCAGCGGCATTCCTAAAATATTTAGTCGTTTCAAGCATGAGTTGGGTGCAAGCTGCTTTAGACAGGGTTGGCTTGGGAATTTCATAACAGTAATATAATGTGTCGGTAAGGTGTTAAAGTGATAGAATACCCAAGACCTCTGACAAAAGAGTATTGCATTTTTAGTAACAGTTTGCATGTGTCTTCTTATTTCAGTTGCTCTTTGTTGCTGCTTAGCAGCATAAACTTTATTAAGGTGCGTTTAAATTTAATTTAAAAAGAATTAAGATTACCTTTTACATTTTGTCTACAAATACTAGAACAATTTACTTTTGTACTTTATAAATAAATTTCCCAGCTGAACATTGGTTTTTAGCGTTTTTAGAGTTTTTAAAGATAATCCAAAACAGGTGCAAATTTGTGAAACCTATCATTTGTTAAAAACATATGTTATAACAAGAGACAAAATATTTCAGCACCTCAGAGGTAAGGTGTGTTAAGTCACATTTTTTAGAGTAAAGAGTTTTCTCCAATTTTTGATTTACCATACCAAAATCGATCTAGTGGAAAACAGATTTAACTCCCTAGTTGCATCATTTCGCCAAAAGGTGACGGATCACTCCGCAAGTCGCAAACCAAGTATAGCAAATTTGGGGTTAATAATAAGTCACATCCAAGTCAAAATTTTAGGACAAAGTAAAAAATCTAACAAAAAATCGAAATAAATTACCAAATAATTGACTTTTGCAAAAACCTGAATATTTAGTAAATTCACCGTTTTTTTACAGTTTTTGTTAAAACAATAAGTGAACTTTAAAATGCCTCTACTGACAAATGTAGATTTCATGACTTAATACATCTTACCTCTGAGGTGCTGATTTATTGGAAAACTCATAAATTTTTGTAATCAATATCATTATCTTTACAACTGGACTCTGATTCAGACTCATCACTACTTACTGTTATACCTAAATTAATAATTGGTTCTAGATTAGAGACATCTAATTGCTTGTATTTTTTCCAATCGGAAACAATTGTGTTTTTAGTGTGTCTTACATAATTGTTTCACTGAGTATTGGTAACATTATTCAAAGCTTCTGACCAAGTCTGAAATACATCTTCCGGTGATGACTTTGTTGTTAACATTTTTTTGTCATAAAACTGTTTGCACTATCAACACACCATCTCCATCTCATTGTACTGGCAGTGGTATGGAGGAGTTCTTAATATTTTATGGCTATATTCCTCAACATATCTATCTAGATGGAATCCTTTTCATGGTAGATTTTGACATACAACTTCCCAAATCTGATATTTCATACCATTGATTGTTTAATTAATGTTCTTTTCCTGCAACCATTTTACCATTTTATCTTTTGTCCAACTATAACATGGAATTGGTTCCACGTAACGCGAATGATAAGTGACATTATCTTATATAATAAAAAAAGAATTGTCCAGTCTATGTATAAATTTCCTTTTAAACCATTTTTCAAAATTTTCTGTGTCCATAATATTATGGTAATCCCGCTTTTTGTTTGACTTTTAAATATAAGGTCTGCATTTTGTATAAACACTTCTTCATTGCCATGACAATTATATATCAAATTCCATCTCGTTTTTTTACTTGCAGTAACCATCGTTTCATCTAGCCAATTTTTTCTGTCACTTCCCTTGCTATATACCGACGTCTCATTCTTAAATATAGGCTTAAAATTACCCAGCTCCATCTCCTTGTTAAAAAAATTCCAAAACGACATTTTTTTAACAGAATCGATGTCCATTCTAAAAAAAACTGTGTGTAGTTACTTCTTTTAAAGGGAAACCCAATTTTTCGAATCCATGTATTAATTGACCATGCAAACATTTCTTCCGAAAATCGTTTATGTAACAATGTCATTGTTACACACCTCCATACATCATATATAACTTGCCTCAACTTAATATTAAAAACTGACTTTTGTTTTACTTTGGCTTACTTTTTTAGACATTATTTTCACATAATAATATTCTACATCAGAATTTGTTGGTTTATTAAGTCTATAGTGTACCTCTTTACAAGAGCCTCGCAAATAGATTTGTCTCTTAAAATAGGAAACTACGTTTGGAGTTAAAGTTTTTGATTGATCACTAGATCGTTTCACCATTTTGTTGAATACTTATAAAAATTTTGAAATATCAAAATAAACAAATTTTTAACAAATTGACAAATTCAAAATTATTTTGATAACTGCCACCTGACCTAATAATATGATGTAATTAATCTACGACGTACCAAAATCTAGTAACTTTTTCATCCATTTTATATTTAAACAATTAAAGCCAATTTATAAACTTGCAGTTACGGCTTGCAGTTGCAGTTCCCGTTGGAAGTTAAAAATCTACATTGTTCGCTGTTGCACATGAGGTTCCCCGACATTCAAACATAACAAAGTTTTAAGTTCTGCAGTTCACCGTTCGCGCCATTCGCATCTCTGTATCTGAAACGTGTGGAGGGTGGGTTACCCCACGGCAGTTAGGCCTCATTAGGCCCATTGTGCATCCTCCTGAGATGAAAGACACCTCCTAGCTCGTGAGCCAGCCTACAGATTTTATGTAGTTGACAACGTCGCCAAGAGGTGCTTCTCTTATATCGACCGGTGTTAGCCGATACTCGACGAACACAAATCTTCTAATAAATGAGAGCGTCGGGCAATCGTAAAGTATATGCTCGATGGTCTCATCTTCTTGTTCGCACCCTCTGCAGAGTGCGGATTCTGACAGTACCATGATATGGAGATGCTTTCGTACTTGGCAATGACCAGTCAGAATGCCTGTGACTAGGCGCAGATTCTGTCTAGTCATAGTCAAGTATTTGTTTGCTGCAGTGTTGTCAGGATAACTTAAGAGCTCCCTGGCAACTCTGCAGTTTCTTGTTTCATCCCATCTTTCCTTGAATTTCGCAAGGGAATGTTCTTTGATTAGGTCTGTCACTACCAATTTTGTCAGGCCAATAGAAGGGCCAGGTCCAAAAAGTATTTGGTTGGCTGATTTCTTGGCTAGTGAATCAGCAAGACGGTTACCTTTCGATGTGGCGTGACCTTTGATCCATCTTAAGGTGACCACATTGTTGATGGATACTTCGGCCAAAGCTTCGTGACATTCTAGTACTAACCCTGAGTAAATTCGTGGTCTGTTCAGGGTGAGTAGTGCTTGTCTGCTATCTGTATAGTAAAGTAAAGTAAATTTTATTTGACTACATTACATTTGATTCACAAGTTTGTAGCAAGTCATGACAACAAAAAGAAAAGTTTAAAGGTTACAGCTGAACGTACCTCTATAGGCAGCAAGGTATAACAGAAAATTTAAAATATTAATACAATTAAATTAAATACAATACAATTACGAGCTCACAACTTCAAATATAAAATAACAATGGTCAATTACAAAATAAAATTAGTAAAATCTAAGAAAAAGGAAAACATTTACATCAATAAAAATTAAAATAGAATAAGGCAGTGAGCATGTTCCATGTCCCTCAACGCTGGTTCCAACAGGATCATAGTACCAATTTAAGTAGAGTTTAAATCGTTAATTTAAGTAATGAATTTAAAGCCAATGCAAGCAATGTGCTTTAAATGAAATGTTCTATGTATTCATTAACAGAGTAAAAACAAAATCGCAGCATATACTGTTTAAGAGATTTTTTAAACTTATTTAAAGACATTTTTTTAAATTCGTCTGGTAATGTGTTGTAGAAATTTAAATTTAGTAATTTTTTTTGAGATTTAGTTAAACGATATCGTTTATTTCTAAAATTTGTGGCAAATCTAGTGTTGTGATCATGTACATCCGAATTTTTCCCCAAAAAATTCCTCTTTTTGTGAATCTCCACAAGCATATAATAAAGAAATAATGTAGGTAAAGGCATTATCCTAAGTTTAATAAATAAAGTTTTACAAGGTTCACGAAAACCAACATCACACAATACTCTTATGGCCTTCTTTTGCAATCTGAAAATGTCTAATGCAGCAGAAGCATTTCCCCATATAACAATGCCATAGGATATATGCGAGTGAAAAAGTGAAAAATAGGTCAATTTTTGTACATCAAAGCTTGTTGAATTTTTTA